ACCCCGTCCCCCTGCACCCCTGCCCCCCAGGACCGTGGATGGCCAGACAGCCTCTTCCGGGCTCGCCCCTGCTGGCCTGTGCTCCCTGGGCCCAGCCTGTGGTGGACAGGCCGAGGCTGCCCCCACACTTAGCTGTTGTCACATGACCATGTTGTCTCCCTGCTTCCCCCACAATGTCTCTAACTGCCCCCCCCCCCCCTCAGGAGTCTGGAGCCAGCGGGCAAGCGGATTGGCAGAGAGCATGGGTGTAGCCCCGCCTCTTGAGTGCCAATCACTCCAGCTGCTCTCCCCTTTCCTGGGACAGGTGGGTGTCTAGCCGTGTACTCATCCCTGCACACCCAACTTCATGGCCCCAGGCCAAGGCCAGCTCTGGGACGCCAAGTTCCTGCCACACCCCCAGCTGGACCTGTGTCTGCCAATGGGCCTGGCCCTCACATTCATGATCTGGCCCATCGGACAAAAGGTGACTGATAGGGAGGTCTGGCTGGTTCTGCGTTGCCAAGCAGCGTCCTTGTGAAATCTTTTATTCTTTTTGTCACCCATGTCCCTCCATACAACACACCCGTCTACGCTGTCCCCTCCCTCTCTGCCCACAGACTGTGACTCCTCCTCCCACCAGAACTCAGCTGCCCACCTTGGTCCCCAGGGGCTGAGGGCGCTCTGAGGCCACTCTGACGAAGTCACCAAGAGGTGTTAACAGCTGGTGATGTCTTACTATGTATGGCCCCTCGGTGACATATTCAACAGGGGTCTTTCATGCCTTAACCCCAAGAAGTGACTCTGATGATGAGAATTTTGCTGGTCCGAGTGAATATTCCCAGGCGCTGTTCCAGGCCCTGGGGATACTGCCCCTGCTCACTTGGGCCTCATTTCCAGCCCAAGGCCCTAAAATCGAATCATGGGGACAGATGTCTGTACCACCCGCAGAAGGCAGCTTGCGAGGAGGCTGCGTGGGACTTGGAGCTGCATTTGCTGACACCTGGTGCATTTTGAGTCTGAACAAGCCAGGCTGGGACTCTCCAGCGTCTCTCCTGAGGATGTCCGGGAACATTGGGGGGTTGCCCATCTAACCCTAATAGAGGGTCTGCTTCCTGGGTATGGGACCTGTGTAGGCATACAGATGCCCCCAGAAGGCAAGGCGGCATGATGCCCATTTTTCTGGTAGGAAACCTGGGCTAGGACGTGGGAAGCACCGACGTGAAGTCCACGGGGCGGAACACGGTGGGAGCACCTCTACGAGTGTCACCCCTCAGTTCTCGGGGGTCTCAGCCGGGCGGCTTGTTTCTGAGGTTTTGACTAGTGAAACTGCCGGCTGCCTGCGCGTCTCTGCCCTGCCTGCTTTCCGCTCTTCCGCGCTCTGAGATGGCTTTGTTTCTGGGCACAAGGCTACGGTGGCGCCTCGTGGGCTCTGAAAAGTTGTACAGAGACGTGCACGTGACGTGTGCAGCCTTCCAGTGGGCAGTGGTTTGGGTTTTTGTTGGGGTTTTTTTTGTTTGTTTTTTTGCTCAGCTGCCATAACAAAATGCCGCAGACTGGGCGGCTTAAACGGCAAACACTTTTCTCACGTTCCAGAGGCCAAGAGTCCGAGATCAAGGAGTCAGCAGGTCGGGCTTCGTCTGGGGCCCCCGTTGGCTTGCTGATGGCCACCCGCTCGACCATGTCCTCACGTGGTCTTTTCTCTGCACGCATGGTGTCCACACCCCCTCTTTATAAGGACCCCATCCCCAGATCGCACGAGTCGGCTTCCTGGAGAAAGCCCCAGGTTGCTCTCGTGTGTGACTTCAACCCTTGCCTATGAACCAGTAGTAACTCTAAACCCAACTCTCCCTCCGTTGGCACCTGTGACGGCTGTTGTGGTCTTTGGCTACTGTTTACGGAATAACATGGAAACCGCGTTCTCCCTGCAGCCAAGGGACCGGCGAGAGTCCCTGGAGGCCAGTAGGTAGCTTTTCCCAGCCGGACGGGGTGCAGATATGCTCTCCGACAGCTTTCGCCAGTGGAATTAGCTCGCAGGACACACTTTCCTCGCCCTCGCGCCCTTTCTCTGTCACTGCGCCAGCCTGGTTTGTGTGCACGGGGAGGAGATGGAAGCCCCTCGCCCCGGGCGATGGTTGGCTGTGCCAGCGTTAGGGTGGGCCCTTCGTGGCCTGGATGCTGAGCTGCTCAGTGAAGCAGCTCTGACCCTGGGAACGTGCAGTTCACGCTCATCTTAGGAACTGAGCGCCTCCTCAGTCACTGCGCAGCCATCACCGTAGCCTTTCCGTCTAGGCCTGTGGTCAGCAAACCGCGGCTCGCGAGCCACATGCGGCTCTTTGGCCCCTTGAGTGTGGCTCTTCCACAAAATACCACGTGCGGGCGCGCACGTACAGTGCGATTGAAACTTCGTGGCCCATGCGCAGAAGTCAGTTTTCGGCCTGGGCGAGTCTATTTTGAAGAAGTGGCATTAGAAGAAGTGGGGGTACGTTCGCTGAGGTCGACCCCTCAGATTGAGGACGTTTTTAGCAAAGGCCAGCTTAGGAGTACCCTCATTAAGTTAATAACAATGTACCTACCTATATAGTTTAAGTTTAAACCATTTGGCTCTCAAAAGAAATTTCAATCCTTGCACTGTTGATATTTGGCTCTGTTGACTAATGAGTTTGCCGACCACTGGTCTAGGACGTCATCTCAGAGCGGAACCCTACTCGCCGCCTCTCCACAATCAAGAGGATTTGATCAACCATTAAAGTATATAAACTCAGCTCCGAGATCATGAATGAGGGTCCCTTCCCCAGTACACTTTCGGATCTTTTGTTTCCTAAGCTCTTCAAAACATACATGGATGAGCGCTTTCCCTTTCACCCTCAAAAAGTGGGAGGGGAGACTCATACACCAAAGTCTGATGACTTTTTGGAATAAAACCACTGAGGGTTACCAGCCATCGGGATGTCGGTTCCCTCCCACCTGGAACTCACAACCCTCCTTCTTGCCTCAGGTGTGAGCCGGTGAGGCCTCAGCCCCCAAACACCAGGAGGTGGCCTTCAGAGGAAGGGTCCGTTTCAGCTGTGCACCGAGTTGAGGGAGGCGTTACGGGCAGATCCACGCGTGTCCCCAGTTTAGTGGGGATGTTCCAGAGTCACACGTGGTGAGAGGCCCCTCCTCAGTGTTTGGGTAACTCTCCTTTCTCCCTAAGTAAACATGTTGTGTCCGGGCTCCGGAGAAACAGAACCAACAGGATGTGCGTATAGAGAGATTTATTTCAAGGAATTAGCTCACCTGATGATGGAGGCTTGGCAAGTCCAAGATATTAAGGGGAGAAAAAGATCTTACGGGGGAAGCCAGCGGACTGGAGACTCAGGGAAGCGTTCTAGTTCAAGTCTGAGGGCCGTCTGCCCAGGGGAAGTCAGTCTTTGTTCCATGCAGGCCTTCAAGTGACTGGGTGAGGCCCACCACATTATGGAGGGCAAGCTGCTTTACTCACAGTCCACGGATTTCAATGTGAACCTCATCCCAAAAGTAACATCTTTACAGAAACAGCCAGAATAATGTTTGACCAAATACCTGGGCACCAAGGCCCTGCGAGATGACACGTAGAATTAACCACCACACGTGGATCAAGGACAGAGGAGGCCAGGGGCCTTGGCATTCCAGCTGAAGAAGTGCAGGGTCGGTACCCGCACACCCAGGGCCCTGGGCCTCAGGCTGCCCCTCTAGCGGCCACCTGCTCCGTGAGTACACAGAGCCCATTTGCCACTCTCCAGTCTTGACTCTTATCCCGCGCTCAGTCGACACCCTCTCACATGCTAATACGACCCTTAGGATGTTAATTAGCCTGTGGGACACAAACACTCCACGTCCTGAGTGGGTGCAGATGTGGATGAACAAGTGGGTTCTGCCTGTTGCAGGCACTCTTCACCAGTGGTTCTCAACCTTGGCTGCACGTTAGAATCACCTGGGAATCTTTTTAAAATCCTGATTTCTGGGCCTCAGCCTCCGGAAATTCTGTTTCTTTGTTATGGGGTGGGGCCACAACATTAGTAACAAAGAAACCGAATTTCCGGAGGCTGAGGCCCAGAAATCAGGATTTTAAAAAGATTCCCAGGTGATTCTAACGTGCAGCCAAGGTTGAGAACCACTGGTGAAGAGTGTGGGGCAGAGGGGAGTCAGCACAGCCACGCGTGCTCAGGCCCAGACAGGCCGGGACGCAGTCTGAGCTGCGAGTGTGGGCTCAGCCACCGCCGTGAGGCTCCGCAGGCACCACCTGCAGGCTTGCCAGTCCCCAGAGGGTGGAGGGTGGTGCACCACAGCCCGGTCGTAGCCCCTCCAGGACCTGGAGATGTAACTTTCATTCATATAATGAGGGCGTTGGATGACATTGTCTCCAGGTTCTGTCTCCAACTCTGCAGGCAAAACCCAACCAAGTTCAAGTGATGGACTCCCTGCCTCTTTCCCCCCGCCCGCTCCTTCCTCTTGCCCGAAGCACCTGGACAACAACCCAAAGAAAATGGAATTTGGGTGAAAGATCAGATGGGCTTTGTCAGAGCCTGAGTTTGTTCTCAGGGGGGGCCGAAGAGCATTTCTCCAACGAGCTTGCAGGTGCTGTCAAGGTTGTGCCATGCTCTTGGCTCTAGGGCAGTGGTTCTCAACCTTCTGGCCCTTTAAATACAGTTCCTCATGTTGTGACCCAACCATAACATTATTTTCGTTGCTACTTCATAACTGTAATGTTGCTACTGTTATGAATCGTCATGTAAATATCTGATATGCAGGATGGTCTTAGGCGACCCCTGTGAAAGGGTAGTTCGACCCCCAAAGGGGTCGCGACCCACAGGTTGAGAACCGCTGCTCTAGGGACTGGGTTCCAGACACAGGAATTGTTTAAAGCTCCCAGTGTGGCCCTAAGGTGCTACCAGGGTGAGAACTACCGGCTGAGATCTACCAGGATCTACCCCTTGGGACTGGGCTAAAGCCCCTGCTCGGGCGTTTAG